CATGTTAGCTCCTCCATGCAGCGATGATTGCACCCGGCCATATGTCGTGTACTCGATGCTGGGTCGCGTCAGCTGTTCTAGATTATCACATGTCTCTGACTCACCAAGCCCTTTGGTGGCAAAAGCATAATATTCAGGGTGGCATGCTTGGTGCAGCCTCGCACTGATGCTTGTGGCATAGTGATTTTCCAAACTCGCAATAGGAGCAGCCCTGGGCAGCACAACATTGCTGGATCTTGAACAACAATGCTGCAAGAGGTGACATGGCGTTTATGTTGCAATTGCACAAATGGGAAACGCTGCCAAGAAGTGGTGCTGAACCAGCTAGAGGGACTGGCTATTGCATGGCCATTCACTATCACATGATTTGGCTGCACTGCGGGACACTGACGTTCAGCATCTGTAGCCTTGGGGCTGGCTTCAGCTCTGTTTGCTGGATAGTATGCTGTGTTGATTCTCTTGCGTTCACTGCTAGTAGGTAGTGAGTCTATCGAAACTACAAATGCTTGCAAACATCCACATTCATATGCTGTGCTATTCAGGGAAATAGAAGTACTGTGAAGCAGTTCCCTGGAGAATGCCGATCTCAAGAGCATTGTTTCCTGGTGCCAGCTACTGCAAAATTCACTGTCCCTCTCTGCACGACTTGGCTGCTGGCTGTGAGCTACCCATCAATTCCCATGTCCAGCTTGTACAAACCATCAGCCACACCAGCCGCTCCTATGGCGACAGAACTAGGATGGCCATGGTCACCCCCTAATGCTAGATGCTACAGGGGCTCTGTCAAGAAAGGACCATCCGATGGGGATTGCTGTGAGCAGTGTTTCTGGCGTCCTTCCTGAAATTCCTTTGCCATCAACACCTTGCAATTGCACTGTGCAGACCCACACACCAACATTGCCAAACTTTGTTTGCAAACAATTCTTTCTTGGGTCCGAAAATTTCCAAGTACAGGATGAATCGCATCCCACACAACTTCACGAGAAATGTCACACAATGGAAACAGGAAAAAAGAGCACATTAGTCACTGTGGCCATTTCTGAATCTGCAAATATGCACAATGGTTATTTACGTGGACAGAAAAGCACCCCGAAAATGGAATGCGCATTCAGGAATTAGTAGTTTGTACAGCAACACATGACAGAAAAGGACACAAGTGTGCAACAAGGCAGGAACCCATGCAGAAGACAAGGCATACCTGTTGTGAATCGGTGGATAAAGGAACCGATTTGTCCTCTCCACAGCCCACATCGCAAGTGTATGAACAGGCAGGTTATCCAGCACATGCATCAATTGGTGCCACTGATGGTCCAACAGCCATGCTGGAAAGTGTGCTACCATGTTGCAGATTGCGACAATGACATTCTTCCTGATTTCGCCCTGATCAGGAAGAAATTGAGACTGCACCCCTGGTTTTGCAACAGCTTTTGCCTTCACCAGGCTGAATGCTCTGAGCAGGCCCATCAAAACACCACCATAAGGCTGCTGCAACCTCCCATCAAGTGCAAAGGCACCAATGCAACCCACGAACATGTGGATGTCATGGGTGTTGGGACTGGGCTGGGAATATTGCTTTCTGTAGAGAGCAAATTGCCACTTTGCTCCCCGCCAGCTGGTTGGTGCTCCGGACACTAAACGTTGCAGCCTCTGGAAGCACACGTTCAACTTTGCATCAGAGAGGACAAATGGGAAATTTGCAGAAGTGAATTGGTGGTACCGTTTGTTCACCTCTTTCTCGTACTTCAAAATTCTGTCCACCTTGGTCATGGGCAAGGAGCCATTCAGCAGCTGCAACACATCATGAAAAGTGCCATATAGGCAGTGCATAAAGTCGTAGACAACCTCTGTAGGAGCAAAGTACGGCTTCAAGTTCCACAGTGGGCTGTACCCCATAATCCCATCTGCTGCTGCTACCCCCCCCGAATAGTGTGATGTCAGCTTCACCCTTTCTTGGCGCACACAAATGTCCCTTGTGGCGTCCGCATCACGCTTTTGTGGTGGGATGGCAGCTTCTGTGAAGTCCATTACTGATGCCACAGCGAGGGCGCTTGGAGTGCCCATTTTCCCTGGCTGGTTCAGTTCAGAGCACCTCCTTCTAAGCTGTCTGGCATCAAATGGGAGATAGCAGTGGAACAGGGGGTATACCACCTTGGACATGTGCGGGGCCTTGAACCCTTTGTTGTGGCAACAGAAGCATGCTGATATTGCCCCGGGCCCTTGGATGCAGTTGTTCTTGGGCCATCCCCGGCTGTCCATTATGCCCCCACCAGGCCCACACAATACCCCAGCTCGCAATGTAAAGGCTTCGTGGCTGCTAGCGGCGTCAGTTGTTTGCAAGCCATGGGTGTACATATAGTTCACCTCATCAACAAATGGCTCCCAGAATGTATGCAGTACCCCCGTCTCTTGCTCTGGGGGCAGTTTGGGGAGCCCAACCATGAAAGTCCCAATGCCCGGGATCGTTCGAAGCCAAGGGGGGAAGTTCAACACTGACACTGTGAATGGTTCTAGTGACAGTTTGCGGCCATGCTTGAATGGCTGTACCCCATCCTGATGGAAAGAGAAGACAACATTCCTTGCATCATCGGACAGCAGAGAACCCTGTACAGTTGTAGTCCACGCCTCTGTGTCATAAATATCATGCACTTCCCCTGGTGGCGGTTGCTCACGTCTTGAAGGGTACTGCAGCAGTTTTGCAAGTGTCGGTGAGCCACAGATTTTTTCCAGAACTGACACTATGCTATTGTAATAGAGGCAACAGGTGCCACTCGGGCTTCTCGCTTGGCCACAGCATGGGCATTGAGTGCAACTGGCACTCTCACACCTGTACAACTGTCTGCAATCCTTGTTGGTGCAGACATCGTATTTGAATGTGCGGATGCCAACGATTTGACCGATCTTCGTCATCAGCTCTGGCACGGTTTCTGGCAGCAACTCCCGGACTAGTGTAGACACTGCTGTGCTGTGCTTCAACATCGCCAGCATGTCTTTCACAGCTTCCATCCTCAGGTCCCACTTGCCCATAAGCGCAAAGACGTTCAGCATTAACTCCATTGCCTCCTGCTTGTCGATGGAGTTTTCTTGTCCTTCTGAATACCCCTGTTCGGTCCCTGCACAGCCCTGCACAGCAGCACCGTCCCTTCCCGGCAGTCTCAGCTCACATTGAACTTTGTCTGTTGGCAATGTGAACCTAAAGGCGCAGTTAGTAGTTTCTCCATCTCTGCTGCTGTCATCTCTGTCCACTGTGTCCTCGTCATCAGAACGAATGCCATCCTCTTCAACAGAGTCGTGCTGAACAGGGCGTCCAGGGCTTGGCAGGGCATCCTGCAGAGTCATGTCCACCGCATCGCTATTGGCTGTCCCCCTGCCAGGGCCATCATGGCCACTGCCCTGAGGCTGATGATGGTAGCCATCCTTCAGTACATTGTCCTGTAAGGCTTCGTTCCTGACGGGGCATCCCTGCATTCGGTTGTCCGAATTGCGGTTGGAAAATGCCTCCATTTGGTCACTGCCTTGATGATCCTGCTGCGATTGGCCAAGGGCAACAGAGGTGGTAGTTGCTGTTGTGACGGCACCACTTGCCAAGTAAAACAGAATTAACGATGGATGTATCACACCTCGTACATTCGCATTTGGCTGATGGCGATCTTGATGACGAGCTTGTCTGGTCAATAGCCGCCCGAATTGCACGTGGTGCAGGATATCCTCAGCTGTTGGTTGGTCTTGTGGGAAGCAGTATGTACAGAAGCAAAGCTGCTTTGCTTCATGAGACTGCCGCCCTGCACGTTGCAACTCATCCAGAGCTGCGCTGTACTTGATGCGTATGGCATCCTGACGATCAGTAGGCAGGTTGCGCAACACCTGGCGAACTGGGCACACAGGAAGGTTCTTTGTAAGAAGCTATGCAACAAATGTAGTGAATCTGACAAGCTTTGTGAATGGAGATGAGGAATGTGCATTGGGCCGTTGGGGAAGGCTGTGTCATCGAGGCTGGTTGTGGGCTGCATCTTTTCAGGGTGTCTCCAGGGCAGTGTGTAGGTGTGGGTGTGGCATCCAGTGGTGAACTTTTGCTTTGGCAGTAGGGGGGAACGTCGATGCCTATTGACCAGGTTGGCGACATGGTTGGCAAGAGATGCAGTGTGGGTTGCGGCTCCTGCGCTGCAAGACATGTTTCGATGGCTTCTTGACTGCAGTGCGAGCGCCCGCATTAGGATAGGCTTAGAATCTTGCAGTAGTGTGTGCCCATTGCAAGCTGGCACAGAGGGTGGAGAAAAGAAACACCGGTACTGAGATTCGCGAGGAGTACAGGTGGCAATGCATGGACATGCACACAGTTGCTGTCCTATTGAATGATGGAACAGCAACTAAGGCATTTCGACGTGCCGTTGGTTGTGAAGTCACAACTTGGCACGTGATCAGCCCAAATTTCAACTGTTCCAGTCCTGGCACGAGTTTGTTTTGTGCCCCAGGGCCTATAAGAGCAGGCAACTGTCGTGAAAGAGGGACAGCTTTGGGTAGGGGGGAAATACATCAGCTCGATTGCATTGCCGCCTCAGGGTTGTGGGCGCTCATCTGGCAAGAGGCGACTAGCTAGTGACAATGCCACTCTCTAGAAGATTGCAAATATGCCTGCAGTGGAGCACTGCAAGATCCAATGCAAATGCACCACTGATCGGAACGGCAGCAATGTGTCAAGGTTCAGGCTAAAAGGCGTCTGTGTGCCTGGAACTTTTTCCTCTGCTGCGTGGTATCGTTCAGGACCGTGGCCAGGAAAGGCGTGCTTGCCTTGTTGCTGGAAGGTCGTCTCCATTCTGGCAGCGAAAACTGCATTGGTCCGGCAAACATGCAGAGGGAGCGAACCGCGGTGCGCGCCGGCTGGTAACCGGGACCAGGTTTACTCGTTCATCGAATGACGAATTGATAGTGCATTGTTCATACAGTATTAGCGGGGTCCTGGCTCGACCAATCGTTCCCTGTTCGATGCGGACGTCAGTGCGTGGATGCGGCAGCGCCACCGCCGATCTCTCCAGGGCTGCGCTGGATCCAGGGCTCTCGCCGCTCTTCAAGATGGATATTTCATAGAGCGAGTTGCTGCGCGTGCGTGCGCGTGCGTGCGCGTCGTTGATCGTTCGCCTTTCGCGACAATGACACCCCCTGTGAAAGCTGCCCCACGGGGCAGAGACCCGCGTCGTCCGGTCGAGCGCCGGGCTGCGCAGACTCCAAACGCTCCAGGGAAGTCGTCCAAAAGTGACGACAAGAAGCGAAAAGAGCGCCCGTCAGTGGGGACGTCGGTGGGCGCTTCTCTCTTGTCCCGCATGAGTGTTGATCCATCGACCTTAGAGGAGGAGACGATGGCTGGTGCCATGTCTGTTGCCGCCTCCGATTCTGTTAGCTCGCCAAAGCCAAAATCGGCGAAGCTCGATGGGCAGGAGACCTTGGAGGGATTCCTTGTCGCCAATGGCTTCTCTAAGGAGTCTGCCACACGGATACAAGGAAAGCTTGGGGAATACTCGAAGCCCAAGGATATCATGACGATGAAGGCAAACCTCGCAGACGATCTTGTCCGCGAGGAATTGGGGCTGTCGATCGTGGAATTTGGACTATACAAGGCGTTGAAGATGGATGCCATAGAGCCCAAAGTGCCCACAAGCACAAGTGGCTGCCCAACCCGGCTGCACATACCAGCCAATGTGCACCGTGGATGGCAGAAAACCATAAAGGAGGTGATGGATATGCTCCCGGTGGAGGACTCCATCGGGAGTGCAATACCGCCTATGTGGAAGCATTTCCACGTTTTGTTTCCAAAGGCTCACCAAGCCATTCTCAAAGAGGGAGCAGACAACGGCGTTTCCCTTGAGAGCATCCACGTCGCTATGGGGCAGAAGTTGCGCAATATGAGGCGGACAATGGCGAAGGCGTCCAAGGAGGGCGCGGCAGCTGCAAAGGCCAAGGGTGGCAAGGAAGGCGAAGGGGGTGGCGAGGAAGGCGCAGCGATCGGCAAGGGAGGCGGCGAATAGAGGCGCTGCCTTTATTTTGTTCTTTGTCATTGTTTTGGTGTAGCGGCGCGTGTGACTGAGAAGGGTGCAACAACTATTTCACGTTGTGATCTTTGTAATATGTTGTCTTTGGATTCTTGTCGCCTATGTTATGCTCTGTGTTGTAATCGTTGTCATCCATTGACTTTGAATTCATGTTGCCTATGTTGTGCTCCATTGTTGCCACAACCTCAACCAACTTGCACAACCACGGACAGGCGGTGGCTGGCCAATTCAGTGTGTTGTGTGTGTACCTGCTGCCCTGAGACACCCGTTGCTGCCTCAGAATGGTAAGGTTCCCTTGGTCAAGATCGAGCAACGCGACCTTGGTTTGAAGATCTTGTGCGAGCATAGTGCAGGTGTCACTTTTGTAAAGCAATTTCACACTCTTTGGTTGTGATGTGTTCCCCTTCACCTTGCAATGCTGGACAGCTGTGTTGCAATGCGATGATTCTGCACATTTGCAGTGCTATTCATCTGGCCGTTTGCGAATTGCTGCCCTCCCATTTTGTTGGCCAAGGAACTGCGTGGGTACTGCTCTTGCTGTGAGCCGAATGCATTTAGCTTGGCATCCATCAAGCAACCGCTGACGCTGATCGACACCTGTATGTTGTGCAGGTATTTCTGTACGCACCAGACACACAATGGGCACATTGAAGAGCTTCTTCACGCAATGACCTGCCCTGATCGTCACCCATTTCGCCCCAGAGCCAACAGTTTGCCTCCAGGAAAGTGGCATCTACAGGTGAGTTGGACTGTCAGCTCATCTGCAGTCCTTGTTTTGGCCCAACTGAACAGCCAGGCTGCACATGCTGCCTTTCCACCCTGATTGTGGCCATTCCGCTGGTCCCCCTCCATACCCACACGTTGATGCTCGTTGCAAGTGAGAAATGCCATCTCAGAATTAGAAACATCTGGCTGTTTGAGATTTCCTGTCCGCCTACTTGTTGATGATGGCTAAGGAACTGTGTGGGTACTGCTCTTGCTGTAAGCCACAAGCATCGAGCTCGACATCCATCAAGCTACCGCTGATGCTGATCGGCACCTGTATGTTGTGCATGTATTCTTTGTATGAACCAGACACACAATGGGCACATTGGAGAGCTTGTTCACGTAATGACCTGCCCTGATTGTCACACATTCCGCCCGAGAGCCGATAGTTTGTCTCCAGGAGAATGGCGACTACAGGTGAGTTGGAGTGTCAGCTCATCTGCCCTTGTTTTGGCCCAACTGAACAGCCAGGCTGCACGCGCTGCCTTTCCCCCCTGATCGCGACCATGCCACTGATCCCCCTCCATGCCCACACGTTGATGCTCATTGCAAGTGAGAATTGCAATCTAAGAATTAGGAGCATCTGGCTGTTTGAGATTCCTGTCCTCCCGTTTGTTGTTTTATGGCTAAGGAAGGAACTATGTGGGTACTGCTCTTGCTGTAAGCTCAAAGCATTGAGCTTGACATCCATCAAGTTATCGCTGTTTGACACCTGTATGTTGTGAAGGTATTTTCTGTATGAACCAGTCACAAAGGGCGCATTGGAGTGCTTGTGCACGCAATGACCTGATATGATCTTCACTCCTTCCTCTCCAGGGCTAATAGTTTTTATCCAAAAGACTGGCATCTACAGCTGGGTTGAAGTGTCAGCTCATCTGCACCCCTTGTTTTAGCCCTACTGAACCGCCAGGGTGCACATGCTGCCTTTCCCCCCGGATTATGGCCATGCCACTGGTCCCCCTCCTTGCCCACTTGTTGGTGCTCATTGCAAGTGAGAAATGCCATATCATATTTAGAAACGTAAACCAGACAGGTGAAATGGATGTGCTTGCTGCAAGGGGTGAAAGCGTTTTCAGAGTTTGAATGACATGCTGCGATGGTGAAGACACACTGATGGCCAAGCTATGGACTCCCTGCAACACATTCCTCCAATGCTCTGCAGTTTGCCTGTTGTCTTCAGGTGTGAATGTGCAGAAGTGCTTCCTCTTTTGTGCGACTTCGTTGCGACGTGGTGCAGCGTTGCGCCGTTGTGTGTGCCTTTTACATCTTGGCTGGCCTGGCTGTCTCTTGTGCCTCTCTTTAAATGCAATCTTCAACATCTGACAATGGTGTTTTTCACTGCAGGCCTTCCGTGTATGCAATTTCCTTACCCTGCCAAGGACGGCGATTGCTTATCCACATCATCCCAAAGCAGGGGACTGAGATGGAATCTTAGTCATTTACAACATGGTGTGGGAGTAGCGTCTCCTTTCAGATGGTTAGATTGGCGACCTGCAGTCTTGCTTGGAAGCAGACTCTGTGTATGCCTCAGTTGTAAGTGGATTCAGTGTCATGCACACCTGTGGTCGATGCACAACTGAAAAGAAAACCCCCCTGATCAGAGGTTGTTCTTCGAGTACTGCGAAGTCAGTGGGTTGTGACGTGAAAAGTTCTGCACTGGTGCTATAGAGAAGCAGGGGATCGAAGGGCTTCCATCCACTCGATCCCATGTGCGGGCATGCCGCGACCAAGAGACGTACTAGTAGTTTTCGTAACTGGCTCCCGCTGCTGCTGCATACACAGCCTTTGCGGGTGTCCACGGCTCCCCACCCCGCCTGCATGCGTTTGTACTCATCCTGAGTTCATATGGCTACCATCACCATTCCAGCACCACATACAGTTGTGCTTCACAGTTCCGCCAACAGGCTGTGGTGGCAGAAAACGCTCTGCCTGCCAACCATGAAACGCCCGTTGCTCTCCTGTGCGTTGGGCTAAGTTGAGGGACAGGCGTTGCCAATACACGACAGCCAATCGCCATCCGGAAGACGAGCATGTTTGCCGCTGATTCTGGCGGTCTTAACGCAGCGGCAGTCGCTGCACCTTTGTCAACCTACGCCTTGTTCTACTCGCCGCTCCAGAACGCAGCCTGGCGTCCCCTTTTGCGCTCCCGCACACTCAGATACATCTACAGATGACATTCGCAGTGTGATGCCACTGTTTGGGCCAAGTACAGAAAACAGGTGCCAGATACGCCCGCCCAGTGTACAAACGGCCTGCAATCTTGCAGCCACAGCCATTTTGCACAGCACCAAATCCAGCGACCAGGATGTCTGTCACGACGGGCGAGAAAAAGGGACGACGACAAACGGTAAGGGGGAGGAGCAGCTCGCTGCCCAGCCCAAGACCTGTTTGGCCGCCGCGAGTACTGACTTGCGCACAGCGACCCAAGGAGCCATCCATCATCGTAAGCCCGCCCACACATCTAGCAGTCATTAGCGCTGGGCGGTGCACTCCGTGCACTCGCACAAGGCAAGTGGAAGGTGCAAAGAGGTGCGCTGTTGTGGCTAACGTGGCACGAGATGCGGCGCAGGTTTCCTTGGTTTTGCAGGTGGCATCTGGGGGACGTTGAGGCATCATGGGCACGAGCAACGCAAACCAAGACAAGAACTTGGCGGGGAGTTGCAGAGGGTGGGGGAAAGGCGGGGGCATAGCTTGTAGATCGTGCTTGTAAACAGTTGATTCCGCTTTGGTGTTGTCTCGGCCCTCCCCATCAATCTTCACATTGCCTCGATTTCCATCGTGGGAGTGTGCGACGATCGTTGGGACGATGCTTGGCAATGGTTTGAGGCACCCGCACTCCGATGGCAGCGGGAATGTCCACGGCGGCGTAGATCACAGGTGGCGAAAGCTCCTCAAAGGCAGATCTGCCAGTGGACAGATCCTTCCGGCGGCGCCCGGCCCGGCGCGAAACACGTTTGGATATGTGCAACACGACGATGCAACACGTTCCGGACGGCACAACGCACACCGAACAACACGATTGCAATGCACAACACAATGGGAACAACACGATTGTAACACACATCACAGTCCGAACAACACGATTGTAACACACAACGAATTCCGAACAGCACGATTGTAGCATACAACACATTCCGACCAACACAATTGTAACACATGCTGCTGCTCGTGTTGCACATTTTTTATCGTGTAGCGCAGCACGCATGTGTGGGAGCACGGTCCTCCTACGAAACACAGCCATAACACACATTATAAAATGCAGTACACGTACTGCAAATGCATCACTGCAATTAACACGAAAGAAACACGAAACTCAACACAAAACTGAAACTCTAAACACAACTCCTAATGTGCTATGTGGAACACATAAAAACATGTGCAACACATTTAATAAACGTGTTAAACACCAAGAGCACGCGGCGAACACGAATCCAACACAAAACCGTAAACTTTAGACACGATTTATAATGTGTACCTTGAAACATAGCAACACACTTTCGAACACAAATCAACACGTTTTTGGACAACACGTTTTAGCTTGTTGCAACAGAACACACTTTGAACACATTCGCCAAAAGGTGAACCGCCGAAAAGTGTCCAGAAGACAACACGTTTTATCATTGTGTTGCACACTGAGAGCACAAAAATAACACAAACCCGTAAACTTTGTACACGAAAATAGTGTGTTCTTACTCCATGAGCATATTTGCGCAACACGTGTTGTAGTTCCAGAACGTGTTCCCAATAACACTTTTCTGCAATTTTCAACACATTCTGAGCACATTTTGAACACGTTTTGCCCAGTTATAACACATTTGAACACGTGTTATTTGGCCCTTTTTTTCCTAGTGTATTGGTTGCTATCAGGGAATGCACAGGCCCATTGTGGTTCAACACTCGGATGCAGTCCCATCTGGCCAGCATCCAAACCCGAATGGTTCTGTCGAGCGAGCCTGAAAACAAGAATTCGTCATTCAAGCACACGCCCGTCACGTCTCCTGTATGGCCTGCGAGCTCGCAATCACAGCCCCAAGTGGAAACACTGTGCACGGCAATGGCGTTGTTTCCGGTTGTCACGTACATGACCTTGTCATCGACTACCAGCACCCCATGATACATGCTCCGAAGCACCCGGACACACTCCCAACCACCGATTCTCCACACCCTTATAGTCTCGTCGCTTGAGGCTGAAAAAAGGAATTGACGGTTGGAGGACAACGATTTCACGCAGGATCCATGTCCCAGGAGGCGAAATTGACATTTCCACGTTCTCACTTTCCAAACGAGAATTTCCGCATTTTCCGCACCACCAAATAGCCACGTGTCTGTCAACAACAATGCGCTTACTCTGCTGTTCTGTCCCGGAGCTGGTGGTACATCAACCCAACCATCCTGTGCTTTGCAAGCACCGCCAAGTTGGGTAAGATATCCAGAACCTGGTAGTATACAGTCATCTTGTGGTTTGCAATCACCACAAAGACAGGTGAAAACTCCCCGTGAACAGTTCCATAGCATATGGCTAATACCGCAAATACAGCCACGACCACAATCGATAAAACATTTCAGAAGTGGTGGCTTTCCAATGCAACTAGCCAGTGTTTTGCAAGCACCTCGAAGATGGGTGAAAATTTGAGAAGAATTGAATCTTTTCAGCAACAGACCATCTGATCCAACGAAGATTGCTGTTTTCCCATTGCCTGCCACTGGACCGCGGAGACCAGGGAAGCCACATTGAAGTCCCCAGCACTGCCTCGTGCTCCGTTTGTCATGCTGCAATCCATACATTCCAGCTTCGGCACCCCAACCAATTACCAACCTCTTCCCCGTCGCTGCCATCGAAAATATTGCATGCGTTGGTAGCTGTAGCTGACGATTGTCTCCTCGCAAAGGCACTGAATAGTGAGATACCCATCCAGGATGGTTGCTTCGGCTTGAAGAAGACACTTTGGGAAGCTGGGTTTTCTGAAGGGGCACGTAAGGTAAATTACTATAAAATTCATTGAATTCTTAACTCAGTTCTAGGAAAAAAGTAATGAGGCGTCAATTAAGACGACTGAAATCGCAATTTCAAACAGTGTTCAGCTGCACAAATACACTTTAATTCATGAAAACGTTCCTGTTCTTCCAGTAGCTCTCATGAATTGGAACAGCCACACTTGTGTTCCCACGCGTTTGGCCATAAACTACTGATGGCGCAACTCAGAGATAATGCGCATTAGGCGGTTTTGCAAGTGCGTTTTATCTTGAGTCAAGTTTTCTTGTTTCATCACTGGCAATGATTGAATTCTATTTCAATGTGGAAAGATCAAATACACACGGCTGTGACACAAAAAAAATCAAAAGACTGTGATGTCAGAAAAGTATAAAGATATGTCCTTTCTGAATATTCCAAAAATTGTTGGAGAGACAGACAACAGCCATTTAGATGTAAACGCTCGATAGTGACTGACCTCATCAACTTTTCCATTCCCTGAATCCATGCACGGCATCTTGCAAAAGGGTATCCCAAGAACAGCCGTGACTCTCGAGCAGCAACTAAATCGCAAATGAGACTCATCAGGCTGTGCCAGTACCTACAGAAGTCAAATTAATCCAGAATAATCATTCCATCAATGCAATACTCTCACGAATACGTATTTTTCTTCTTCACAACTTTTCTGGAAGAACAACAGGCAATATCCAGTCGATGCTCTTCACCATCATGTGCTTAAATGATTTTTATGTGTGGTGAGTGTCCTCTGAGGAAAGATCCCTTTGGCGTAGCGATAAGGATTCGATCATTCAGCATTATTATTCCATCAGGGGAAAACTGTGCCATATTTTAGATTTATTTTTTGAAATACTTCACAACTACTTCAGCGCTGGGATCATTGCGGAAAATTCACAGTAGAGTTAAGTTGTGCACTAGGAATCAAAAGAAGGCGCGGGGATATGCCAGGAACAATCCAAATCTGCGGATATTGGGGTAAACTGTCTCTCATGGTGCAAGAAGTCCTCCAAATTGAATTTGGTATTTTATATATCATCAAATATATATCATGTGATGTTATATATCATCATCAAAGAAAGGCAGCAATAAAATCCCCAGATTTGTTCAAGCAACAGGAGAACGCCGTAGTGAAAACGTAGTAATCGAGTTGTAAGATAATGGCAATGCAATATATTTCAACTTGTCGTCGAATAGATACAGGAATCTCTGTGCGGCGGGATTTGATATGGAGAATTGGGTGCTTCATGTTACATGGTATCATAATCTGCTGCATATTATGCATGAGGTCTTCAATGAAATATTTTATAATGGCAAAATTACGACTATTTGCATGGAAGGACGCGAAATGACGGATCAACATTCTTTGCGAGACAATTTCATCTCCATCGAAAGTGGAGCTAGGACTAGCGATAGGATTAAGCGAGGGCAACGGCTCTACAGGCGTTGCGAATAGCTGTTACAGCATTGCTCTTATGATGCAATGCAGACAAGTTGCTTGTATGGGCTTTCCAAAGCATCTTGACTGATGCCGCTTTCAAGTTGAAGACGCAACCATGGCGAAATAATTCCATGTGTGGGCTGTCGCAAATCATGAATGTTCCAGCATTTATTTGGGATTGAGCACCCCATGTTGTGCAAGACATAAATTGACACAAGTTTCGCCAAAATATACATGCATGAAAAAACATGCGACGACCACATGGTTTTCAAAATTCTGCGTCTTAAGCCATCTCCTGAGATGCGGTTTTGGCGGCAGCATGAAGTGGCACCCGCAGGTCGCAAAATTGCTCAAACTATAGCGCAATGCAGAATTGAAATGTGTATCAGTGTGGCATTGATATACCAAGTTCTAAACCATGCAAACATATGTAGAATCAATTTAGGTTTCACGTGTTAATTTTCCTTGACACAATTCACGTGTTGTTGCAGCGAACACACAGTCAATTCATATTTTCAATGGAAAAAACTTCAATTATTGATACAGAACATTTCTTCACCACATTGTACCAGCTATACGTCGGTCGATTTGTTGAAATTGTCATATTCATGCACTAGAGCTTCTGAAATGTTGGACCCCTATATTCCAATGTCCCTATCAGGTCCACCTCACGGAGTTATCTGAGGAGCTGGTAAGGCCTTCAGAGGGAAAATTATGACGCACGGATTGAACCATTGTTGGGTACCTGCGAGCTCGCTCCCTGCATCACAGTGAACAATCTGGATTACATAATATGTCATGTTTAAGCAATGCATAAGCTTCAATGGCGATATTTCACGGCATCAGCAATGGAAGCACGAGCTTTTCAGCTCAATAGATAGCGCAAGCCGGCTCCAAACTTCCAAACCTAAAAGCTGCCTGGTCACCTACTGACAGCAACATTCTGATACACCAGCTTCCTCGTAAATAGCATCGAGGAGGACCAATGCTGCCACATCATCGACATCAAGAGCTCTGCGTGGCAATGCCTTTTCACTATGTCTGACGAATTTGTCGCCTTTTATAAACGCGACATGTATGCAGTTCTGTGAGTGCTCGAGGAAGCGGCGAGGTGAGAAAACTGCAATGGCAATGGGCAATGTGGATCTGTTGACCCAATTTTATGCTTTTTTTTGTGCACACTCTCATGAGCATCAAGCAAATACGCACAACACACACATTTTCGCGGGATTGACAGTTTTTGGCGTGCCCGTGTTCAGCACGCATGCTGAAGTTCATGTGAAAGCATGTTTATATTCTCTGAATGAGGCTTCGTACATTTTGCACTGATGGGACCCTGTGTGGCTGACACCGATGATGTGTATTTATTGCATCGATCATCTGCAACTCAGTGCCATGTGAAGGATTCCAGGGCTGCATGAGGCCTGTTAGGACATTGGCACGCTGTTAAAGCACATTAGACGATGTGCATGCAGCTGTGTCTGGTTCGATTGCATTGGATGCTAGAGCGCTGGTCGTGGTTACCCCAGTCTCATGCACAGCCAAGACACGCCTCACCTCTGCTTGACGCATCCAGCCTTCGATAGCATCCTGCAATCCTCGATTCACCACGAGCTGTGTGGAAGCGAGATTCTTGCCTGTCACAGGGCAAGTCCTGAAACCACGTGCGAACCAATTTTCGATAGAAGTCTTCTCATATGTCACCCCTGTCTCAATTATCATTACCGGCGTCTTCATCACCTGCAGTGTGATGGGGCACAGATAGGCTTTGCGAGAGCTGTATTGACTTTCTCGCGGCATGCCCTCGTCGATTGCCGCCTGGATTTGTCGAAGGTAGAAATCTTCCATGACCCCTTTCTTGGTACTTGCCATCTTCAGCTCGGCAGCAATATATTCAAATGTCTGCTGCTGTTCAGCCTGAATCGGAAAAGGAGGTGTTACAAGCGCTTGTCAGTTTGCCGATGCGTCCAGACAAATGCAAATTAGGTATCCATGCGTTCTGCAACGAGCCCCTGAATAGCTCTCAGACAGTTAAGGCGTCCTCAGAGCTTTTGCCACCGTTCCACAGTCTTAGTTTTCTCGGCATTTTCCCATTAAAGTGCAGGTGTTAGATGCAGAATATACGCTGAATACAACAGTAACTGCAAATGCCTGCACAAAGCTGTCTTTTGTTGCTACTTCAGCACTGCGAGGGGAAAGAAGTGGTGGCACAGGGTTCGGTCGCTCTCGGGATGTTGTGTTCACGGCAGTGTCGTCAGGATATGAACTCATTGTCCGACGGCGCCCCAAGTTGGATTCCCTGCTGCAGTTGGTGGCCAAAACGGAACAACAGAATGGACACTGGTGGAAATTCGCAGTCTTTGGAGATGTCACAAAATGCAAAGCCCTCTGCGAGGCTTGGATGATAGGTTGACATACGAGGTGGAACGCAAGGTCTGGCTGCGTTCAGATTACAAGAGCCATGTTGAAGGAGCGATGGGATGATTATGCGAGATGTAGCACCAGGGTGATATTGCAAATTTGCGACTGGGGCTGCACATTTCCCTGGCACCGTTGCGTCCTTGTTACTGCTCCGCACAAAATGGCCAATAGATGCGTTATGATACAGAAGGGCATAATATAATATGGTACGTTCGGAAATCGGGATGGAGTCACAGCAATGTTAATGGATCTTTCTGCAACGGGTTTGCTGGTGCGCTTCCTGTGAATGTTGCCGCAACGCCCCTGCACCAACATCTTGCCATCCACAATGGCCGTGACTTTGATGTACTTGGAAATTGTTAGAGAGTTAAAACTCATGGCCTATGGCATCCTTGACATCGCAAGCAATCATATCAACGGAGCATTTGTGAAGAGCGAGGTCTTCAGCAACCCTGATAGGAAATGCATCAAGAATTTGCAACGAGGCTCATCAACGTCGCTGTAACGCATTCCGATTTCAGGATGCATTTGTCGCTAAATGCATTTGGCATAAGGCGACATTGAATATCCTGGTGTCGATTATCACCACATTTTATGCGCAACATCAACATTGTTCGCATTCACCAGTGCTCACTGCGGCTATGTTGCACCGTAAGATGCTATTTGGGCATGCAGTCGAACGTACCATAAGATATTATCCGATGATATGATCATCCGAATTCTGCAAACTTTTCACAACAGCGCAGCAAAACCTGCACCCGAATTTTAGGCTTCTGCAACCACAGCTAAGAATTTTGCAACCAGGAATTTGATACAAGTACAACTGAAATTCATAGCGGTGCCCCTCAAAAGGCCTTGGATTGCTGTTGATGGCCAATTCCTGTTGGCGATCTCGCCATAAAGGCGCAGTTCGCCGCTGTCATATCACCAATCCTGCAACGTTTTCCGCCAATCCAGGACCAAAGCCCCTCCTTTTGCAGGTTGCATTGCAGAGCTCGAGTTAATGCCGAGGTGTGTAAAGTACTTACGAAAAACATTCAGTACCCTGAAATTTAAAAAAAACGATTGAAACAATACAGACATCTTAAATAGATGACGAATTCAGACAAGTATAATCGCTGTCATTTGCCCCGTTGCCATCCGGGTTCCGTACTTTCCAGTGCGCGGAGGAAAACGATGCATGTTACCCCTGCCCTAAATCCAACACTTATCGTCATGATGACCTTGAAATTCTGTTATTTCCGGACCGCATGCGGCCTCGAAATGGACTACTCGTAATTTTCTGCGCAGCGATTGCAAATTTGGGGCATGTACGATGTTCACACTAACTGTCTGTTGCTTTTCAACCAGTGCAATGGAGGAGTATCATTACACAGAAATAACTTGCAGATCTGACTGCAGAGCAATTCGCGTGTCATATTCATGCTACCAGTGGCACAACACACCACGAACATTAGCAGCCATAACATCTCAACATAAACCTAAATTGGGCTGTTGACGGGATCCGCGTCTTTCAGCCATGTCCAGGATTCCTGTTCACCATGATTCATGATGATTGTACATTGTCGTTCAAATCAAATCAATAGTAATTGCACCTTCATTTTGCCACAACTGTTTCCCTGTCTCTAAGTGTGGACTAGGGCTCTATAACAGCCTCAGTGCACCAAAGAATTACCTGCAGATCCTCCTTGCCTACGGCGTCCTCCAGAAGCCTGTACATAGCTGTTCGTCCGTCGGAGAATGCGGTGGTGCCATTGTGCATTTGGTCAAGTATTTGTCGCATATTGACGTATAGCCTTTCCTGTCTGCTATCCAGCTCCAGGGGGTATTCTGTAGCAACCACATCCTGCGCAAGCTTGCTGATGCTCCTTCTGATTTCCATGATATCATTTTGCCCAGAGCTGGACTGTGCAAGCATCAGGCCTGAAGCAAAAATTTCAAATCTCAGAATATCCAAGTAAGACATACAGGAATCAGCTGAAATTCTTACTTCATATATACTCTTACCTTTCAGAAGTTGTTGTCAAGTACGTTGTGATATATTCTGAAGCCATATAACTTCTTGTGTGCTGTTACATCCATTGCCAACAAACTAGTCAGCTACAAAATTTGTCGCATGAAGGGCAGATTCTTCCCTGCCCCTTCTGGATATAGTTAGGAGGACAGGTAAAAAATAAATATCCGACACAGATGCAGTTTGCGTGACAATCTCCAAGGCGGTGGCACGTCGTGACTTGATAGGAGAAGCAAAATCTTACCCTGAATAGACATGCTCAACGCAGAAGATACGTTGACAAACTCCTGCTTCGTGTCCATCGCATTGATGAAAGACGAAACCTTGCCCATCGAGCCAGCCCGGGCAATCAGTGTGTCTGCATCTTTAAGTGCAAGTTGCAGCCTGGAGAAAGCCCCTGCAACAGGCGTCGTTGTATCCAACGTTGGCGACCCCTCTAGCTGCCGCAAAATCGCCTCCAGCAACCGTACATGGTCAATCAGCTGTTGGCATTTCTTCTTGTTCTGCCGCACTTGGGACTGCCGATCCCTGATGGCAACGATGAGGCGGAGGGTTTCGGTAGTGACCGAGAATGGGTCGGCCATCGCCAGCGAGAGAACCTTCCCCGCCTGAACATAAGATGAAAAGGCGTGGATAACTGGTCCTCAAGAAATAGCATTTGTCAAAATGGCGGAATTGCCATGTGCCGACATATTGGGACATCTCTGCCTGAACTTGTCTCCGTTGCTTGATGATACACTCAACATACTGAATTATTACATCAGTGGCTTGTGCCAAAGTAACTTACTTCGAAACAATTATTATTGAACGAATTTCCAAGCATATCTGTAAGAGCGCTAATGGCATGTTGCAAACTGCAGCCACGCTCCCAATCGATTCCCTGCGCAAAAAATGGCACAAATATTTGAAAAGTTTGCATGCCCGTGTATACAGGCATGTAGCCGCACAGATGAAATGCTTGTACACACCCAGTGGTCATTTCTTCCTGCAAGTTTGCCGTTTTCTGGCAAGACCATCATTCTGTTTTCCGCCTTGCCACCATCACGTCATTGCCATGTTTGAGTTCGCAGTTGTCACATTCGAGAGCGTGGAACCACATTTGCTCCAGAAGTGTATGGTATGAAGTTGCCGGCAGCCAACGCTGCATCGAAGTTTATCTGGCAGGAGTGAACTCAGCAGGAATAGCACGGTTCTCGCAACCCTTTGCGAAGGGTCCACCTGGAAACCGCTCTGGGATGATTTGCCGGGATAATCTGGGGAAATCTTGGGCGCCGGCGCTCTTGCAGCCAACCCAATGACTGTCAGGAAGAATGTGTATGCATGAGCGACATCAGCTAGCAACGAGCAGGGTGGCAGGAAAGGAAGCCGCGCAACCCGCAAGCGCCTTCAACGGCGTCTCGTGCAATTGCGGCGCGGGAGACTGATGCGGTGGCACCCGTCTGCCGTTTCCATTGAAGCAACAGTGACGGAATGGCCTGCTAGGGCGGTTCGCAGCTGACCACGAGATCAAGATGAAGGACAGGAAGGGCTTCCATCACGAGGAACTGGTTGCCCAAAAGACAACTGGCTCGTGCTGCCTTGCATGTCGTGCTTCACGTTGCAGTCAAAAGTCAGGCAGAGCAACGCCAGTGCTGCCGGTGGGACCTACTTCCCACCGGCTGCCCTTGTCACTTGTTGTGGACCTTCACGGGTATCCGCAGTTGCCCGGCGTTTTGCGGCTGCGCGGTCAGAGTGAGGGCAGCATCCAATACTGCCTTCGCGCCGAGTGGTTCGCGGGCCTGAGGGGTGACCGGGGCTGATGTGTCCATCTTCGTGTTGTACTCGCTTGGCCAGCCTAAGATTCCCCAGGAGCAAAAGCTGCCGCTGCTTGGCATGAATACTCAACATCTCCTGCGAGATCACCTTCGCTGGCGTGCCAGGGTCAGCTGGCGAAGGGCCAAGTGCGACTGGCCAACGGCGAAGTTGATCAGCCGGCAATCGAATGTTGCCGAGCAGAATATCCAGGGACCAACGGACCACAAGAGCGAACAACCGCTCGAAAGCAAGAGAGGAAGGACCATCCTCGCATGGCCACTTCTAGAACCTTATGTCTAGGCAGCCCCCACCCTCCCCTCCCACGTCGCACAGGGCGCGGCAAGACGGCAAGATCTAGCCACAGACACCCCACCATCATCACCAGCAGCAGAACTACCGGATGCCGGCCAAGGTCTGCCGTTCCCAGCTCTGGAACTGGCGTTTGCAGGACTGCACTGAGCTAACTGCTTCCCCGTGAACGCGCTGGACGGGGGGGATCGACAAGCACTCACCGGCTATTGTACTCTCCTCCGGCACTGGCCAGCTCACGAGCCAGAAGGACCTGGACCCCAAGCCCCAGGCTCCTTCTATCAGTCCCAAGGCACCGCGAATATGGTCCCAAGGCACCGCGCCTGTCGCCCCAAGGCACCGCGCCTGTCGTCCCAAGGCAAAACCGAACGCCAGCAGGCAATTTGCCCCGCTCTCGACAAGCTGAATGCTCATGGGGCGCACCTGCACCCGCCGCCACTTGGAAGGAGAATTCTTCACTGGCAATACAATCTGCACCGGCGGCAACCGCTTCTTGACAGGAAGTTCCGGTGAAATTTGGACACGGTGCCTTCGCTGGGGTCCATTACCACGCTCTCAAGCCCCTCCTATGGGTTTTGTAAAGACCCTGTCATGTGAGTGCGTGGGGATCATCCGGTAGGTCGAAGCAGCTGTAGGCACTTGTCGATGGTCGCCACGTGAAACATGCGTCTCTTCCAGGCAAGATACTCGTCCTGACCGAATCCGCACTGGCCAAGTACGTTACAAGATCTCTCACAGGCGTCCATCACCCAAACAAAGCCCAATGAACGTCGACCACAAATGTGTCGTTGCTTCGCGAATCAAACCATAGTATTTTCCCTAGTACTTTGTACTTCACAGACTCCGCCTACCAACCGAAATCATACTCATAGGGATGGGCGGGAGGGACAGCAAAAGAGGATGGTGATGGCCAGGGGGCGCCCTCCTAAATTACGAGGCCCCCTTCCCGCCAATACCGTAGTTTTTTAAACCCTTCCGCATAGTAACGTAACGCTGGGCCCTTTTTCGCGGAGTCGATGAATATAAAAGTAACGGTGCCGGAGCGAGATGCGGAGCAGCCGAATTTAGTAACGCCGGGGAGCAGCTTCAGAACGGGCTTGGCCCCGGCACCTGGCAGGCCACTGAGCGGTCGATCGGCAGGCAGGCCGGCGCCCGCCGCTTGCCTACCGGGCGAGTCGGGCCTCGAACCGCGGGAAGCGATCGCAGGCATATTCCTGCGCCATCACGGATCGACCCAGGCAGCCGATCGCGTCGCACGGCCCGCCGCCAATTGGACACGCGAAAGCCCACGGTGGGCCGCCCACCCCGCCTTGCGCCATCCTCTCGGCGCTCCCCGCCATCCGGCAGGCTCATGGGCGATCGATCGGCAGGCAGGCGCCCGCTGTTTGCCATCCGGGCGGCGGGGAGAGTGGGCACTGACGCCGAAGGTGCCAATACGGAACGGCACAGGCGGGGAGTGGGGGCCGTCGGCGGGCGCGCGCCCGTTGACCAACAGCCGGCCAGGGGGGTGCGGCGCCCGGAGGGGGCGCGGCGCCTGGGGAACAGACATCGCCATTGACGCCGCGCAGCCACACTGTGTCGCTGCACCCAAGAGCACATGTTCCATGGCACTCGACGCCCACTGTCCAGCCGCGCCTGTCCTCGCAAGTCACTAGGACTGTTGGGAAGCGTCCCCAAAGCTGGGTGGTTGGCGTCGTACGATGCATGCCCGTACGAGGCTTGGGACTCGTCCGTTGCACCTGAAACTTGGTATACAGGCTCTACAGCCCCCTCAGAGACCGCCCGACACGATGCGGAGCAAAAGAAAAAATAACGTAACGGTCTGGGACGAAAATGCGGAGCAAAAACGTAACGGTCGGGATGGACCGATGCGGAAGGGTTTAATATTTTACGGTACTTGCCCAGCCTCTGATGTGATCAACCGGCTGTGGCTCCCTTTGAAAGCTTCCCCAATGCAATTGTGCAACAGGCGAACAATCGCTGGCCTTGGGTATTGACGCCCGGGCGACGGCCAGAGGCACCACCCCAGTGCGATGCCCCGCCTAGGCTGCTGACGTGTTCTCGGTTCCCACCCTCGCCTCCCTATGCAGAAGCACATTAACTACGTTAATTCCCTTAACCGCAGGTTTCCATCGGTAGCCGGGCCATGATGACAGCTTCAACACCACTTGATTTGAGGGCGCAATGACCGACCAAGATTTTCTCCCTTTGCACGAACTAGCTCTTCAGAACCGCCAATTGCCACAACGACAACTGCCTCCAAAACAGCAATGGCAGCGAAAGGATGTCTCAAGCAGGCAGTAGATGACTAACGCCAGCCAAAAACGCCAATGTCCTTGCAGAAAAGCTTGTAAATGCGATCCAGAGCTCCACAGTCATTCGCAGCAGCGCGCCAAAGGTCGGCGAAGTCAACACACCAGTCAAAACGACGAGTCAAGTCAGCCTCATCCTCGACGCAGCGACTCCTGACTCAGGGGGGCTTCTTTCCGCCTTGGCAAGGCTACGCAGCAACGAATTTTGACCTACAGAGGCCGGAAGGAATACCGCCCCGCCCCGAAGGCTCTGGCGTTCAACGGGAAGAAAAACAACTCGGAAATAGCTCAGAATGGCCGCTATCTTTGAATGTGTTGAGATTTATTGCGCTTAGGCCGTGGTGCACGTTGCGGGCATGGTCAGCGGACCCAAGCAGCCAGGCCGATGCCTGTCTGCCTCATTGTGCACCAGCCCACTGAATGATAGTCAGTGTGGCGAAGGTCCTGAGACTGTCGACATCACTTTTCAACCATATCTGGACTTCATGGATCGCCGGCTGAGTGATATTGTTACAAGGCTTAGCCCTCACGTTTACATTTTACGTTTTACGTATACGCGTGAAAATGTAATTTCGCAAATGGGGTTATTTTTGTATTTACGTATCATTGTGGATCGTTTAAACACCAACGTTACATGAAGTTTCAATGATCGGTTCTCTGCCCTCAAGAACTTGGAGCGCAGGGTCCACGCTGTTTTGAAAATCTCTTGCCTTGTTTGCTCCGTTTTGAGGTTTGCATCAAAATATGCGTTAGGGCGATCCTGACAGCTGATTTTGGAAAAATCGCGAATTCAGCATATTCTTGACAGATGCTGAAAAAAATGTACTGGCCGCATTGCTGTCAATGAGTTATTTCGTGCTGAAGCATTCAACACAACCCGAGGAGCCATGCAAAGGCATTCACCCAGCAGCAATGCTTGCCACGAGCCCAGAGGGGAACCCATCTGCATTTGTTATTGCGCGTGGTGTGTTTGATGTCGCATTTGGGATCCCAGCATTGTTGCATTGGTCCAGTGCCACTCACGTTCCTCCTTTATTGCAACCCGGCTAGGGGACCGGTCACTGCAAAGACACAAGCACCGTACCGCCGCTCCAGCAGGAGGAGAAGGCCCAACACCCGAAGGACGTCGGCGATGCATCCGAGACTATCGCCGATCTGACGCATGCCAT